AAGGATTTCTATACTTCTGAATGTTCCAGTGAGCACTGTTGGGGCCATAATCCGGAAGTGGACAGAACATCATTTCACCATAAACTGACCACGACCAGGTGCTCCTCGCAGGATATCTGACAAAGCATTGAAAAAAAATTATCAGAAGAGTTGTCTAAGAGCCAAGCACCACTTGTGGAGATCTTCAGAAAGACCTAGAATTAGCAGGTACAATTGTTTCAAAGAAAACAATAAGTAATGCACTCAACCGCCGTGGCCTGTATGCACGCTCACCACGCAAGGCTCTATTGCTGAAGAAAAAGCATGTTGAAGCTTGTTTAAAGTTTGCTGCACCACATTTAGACAAGCCTGTGAAATACTGGGAGAATATAGTCTGGTCAGATGAGACCAAAACTAAACTCTTTGGATGCCATAATACACACCATGATTGGAGGTCAAATGGCTACACATGGCTACACCCCAAAAACATCATGGTGTAGCACTGGCAAAATTCATGTAATTGAAGGAAGGATGAATGGAAAAATGTACCGAGACATTCTTGATAAAAATCTGCTGCCATCTACCAGGATGATGAAGATGAAACAAGGGTGGATATTTCAGCAAGACAATGATGGAGGAAATCATACAGCCAAGGAAACTCAATTTGTTTCAGAAAAAGAAAGTAAAGCTGCTAGAATGGTCCAGCCAATCACCTGACTTGAATCCAATAGAAAATCTATGGAAAGAACTACAGATCAGAGTTCACAGAAGAGGTCCACAGCACCTTCAAGATTTGAAGACTGTTTGTGTGGAAGAATGGGCCAAAATCACACCTGAGCAATGCATGCGACTAGTTTCTCCATACAGGAGGCGTCTTGAAGCTGTCATTAACAACAAAGGCTTTTGTACGAAGTAATAAATACATTTCAGTAAGTGTGTTCAATGCTTTTTCCCTTTGTCATTCCACTTTATTACATTTCACAACTTGATTTCTGAACGTATTTGTTTAGTTTTCTTTGTATGTATGGATTACTTGGGTTGTTACCAACATCTGGTGAAAATTTCATGTCAACAGCACCTTTAGAAATATATTTACTGAGAAAAATGGTGACGTGTTCAATACTTATTTTACATATATGTGACATGATTTAAATATTTGTTATATAATTTGTTATATAAATACTGTGTTTATGTGGAAAACAATATGCATATCTTTGAGAATTAAAAACTAATTACATTGCAACTCTTTCAAAATGATTTAGTAAACCTATCCAAATCATTTATTGCAATAATCTAAATCTTGAAAATATATGTAAAAAATAAATTTTTCCATCCAACAACAAGTGTAATCACAACCCTGGCATTAAACATCAGCGAGAGAGTCATTCCACTCGTTATGATGAATAATACATTCATAATATCAGCCCAACAAAAGGTTAAATTTTCTACTTTATAGTTCTCCATAGACCGCATGATCACATTATTTGCTCATCACTGCCACCATTAGCATAATCCAAAACAAATTTTTTTTAAAGAAAATCGCCTAGAGCCATTGTGAAAGGCTACAGATAAAAACAACAAGATGATGCATGAACAGTCATTTATTTTATTCAGAAATATATTAAAAACTGCACTAATCAATTAATTGTCACTAATTATCACCTACATTAAGGGACTGCTTGTTCGGTGAGCATAAAATTGCTGCAAGTGTATTAGATTAGATCTCTTTATGAGTTCTTTACACTTGAGACACTTTGTATTGTGTTTTTGCTGAAGCAGACATGTCAAATAAACCAGAACAAATTGTAGTACTACAAGACATTTCACGCCAAACAGAAGATGACTTTCAACCGTTCATTCAAAATATTTTGTTCATTCAACAGAATATTCAGCCTTCTAACATTTGCTTTACTCTGAGTTGTCAGAATGATTATAACAGTTGTATGAAGACTAGCTTCAATGCTTTAAAACTGACAGCGGGTTTACATTAACATTACAATAAACATCTTCCGACAGCAGCATCGCTCCCATATATTTCTGGCTCGACTCTGATCACATATTTTCAAGCGTTGCTTTGAGCCAAAGAGCTGATTCCTTGAGCTTGTTTAGTGTTACAGATTAAATCCTTAAATCGCCACTCTTAAGGAACACTTAACTTTACCTATTTGCCTCAGTTACCATAACAAATTAACAGCAGTTTGTCTTTTGATAACACAAGATCACAGTCGAGCTATACTCCACACTTCGAATTTTGCAGCAGTGCTATTTGCATCGAGCAGAAACACAAAAAGAAGAAACTGACATTTTTAACAAGCAGATCCCTTGTCAACAATAACAGATGTAAAACCTAACAGCATATCACATGACGGTGACAAACTCTCTGTTAATAACTGTTCCACTGTACGGTTATATTAAGAGTTTGTGGAGATGGTATGATAGCAGAGCACCACGACAGCTAATCTTAGCACTCTAATGCTATAAGCTGAGAATAACATACTAAGAATATCTGACCCACAGAGCAAGCAACAGGCCTGCCTGCCTCGCTCGGGTGGCTGTTGTTTAACCGCATACTTCTTTATAATGCCATGCATGCCTGTACGGGGCTTTCACTGGACAGATGAGCATTAATTGAATGGCTCGGTATCAGGCGGAGGAGTTTAGGGCGAGGAATGGGGCACCCTACTGCCCTGGTTGGTTGGACTTAGTCCCCTAACAGGTTGCTTTGCTGAGCCTTATTGAAGACGACAGCTCAGTCTTTCTCTTGTCTTCGTGCACAGTACTTGTACAAATGAGGGTTAGAACTATATTTAGAATGACAGGATTGCGTTAGGCAGTGTGTGTGCTGATTTGCGAGTCGAAAAAATGTAACGTACTTTCAGTTATGTTGCAACGATGCTGAAATCTAGGCAGACCATCTCCTGCGGTTCAGCGGTGATAAGTGCAAAGAGAGAGAAATCAGAGGTGAAGCAATGTCCTCCACCCTTCTTTCAGGAACCGAAATGACTCAATCTGTATTATTATATACATACTTCCTTCCCCCACATTCACCCCAACTTTCATATCATGGATTTCCCAGAACAACACGTTTTGAATCGGTCAGAGTTTGCGCGAGCAGCTTTCTGGCAGCGACCATAAGTCAGAAACAACAGCAAAGAGCAAAAATGAGTCACGCTCAGATTTTAGACAATAAAGCTAACACATCCTCACTCAGTGATGTCAGACCCAAGCTCTCGGCAAACAGTGTCAGGTCAAAAATAGAACGGGTTGATTGTCTTTGGCGAATGCGAAAAGCAACACGCCTTTCATGTTGATGCCGTATTTCTCAGGAAGTTTCCTCTCTCCTGAATTAAAGGCTAAAGTCTCATAACATCCTGTACGCGTTCTGTTTTTATCCCCAATATAACCTACGCTTTCTGACGTCTGACAGGATAATTACATGTACCTTGAGTCGCCCCTTTGTTAGTCACCCACTAATAGTCATCCACAGAACGATGCTCTCCTGAAAGTTTCTCCTCAGACAGCATAATACCAACACAGACACAATCTTACAGCAAATCTTGCAGCCCTGCAGGATAAAACTCCACAAGTTCAAGACCCTTCTTATCACAATACAAAAGACTGACAGAGATCTTACAAAAAGAGTCACCTGAGTTGTTGACGTTGTGCATGTCAGCGTAGTGAGGGGTCAGAGGCAGCCGGTGTTTCCCGATGCTGTCTGTGGAGAAACAGGAGTCGGCCTCGTAAATGGTCTGGAGCATTAGTACTTCAGTTAGCAGCACATCGTCTGCCAGCCCTGCTCTTCCTGTATTGCTGTCAGCTTGTCCCCTCCTCTTCTCTCGGTCTCTCTCTCTGTGTCTGTGTCTGTGTCTCTCTCTCTCTCTCTCTCTCTGTCAAGAGACCAGGAACATTCGCCCCTGCCTCCTCCTCCTCCTCCTCCTCCTCCTCTTAAGCAACACCCGAAGAGTGACAGAGCTCTCCCTCACTAACACTAAAAAGCTTCACTCCTCCTCTGCTCTGTTCATCTCTTCGCTTCTTCTCCAGTCGACACCTAAGTGGCTCTGAGAATCAGCAGGAGAGTCTCTCACACTCTCTATACTCTGCCTTCCTCTTGTCCCGACAAAACTGCTTGTTATTTTCTCCCCGATGTGTCAGATTCACTGTTTTCGGTCCTCCCTCCCTCTCAAACAGGGTTTTTTTTTTGTCCTCCAAGGTGGCTCAGAGTTGCATTCAGCTCCTGTTTCTGTCTCTCTCTTTCTGGTTTTCCATCAAGTTGCTTGCTGCAGAGAGGAGGAGGCTGATTTGCATGTGAATCAACAAGAGCATGGCCCACAGGTAACAGAAATAGAACAATGGCCGGCTCGGGCTATAAATAGGTCAGGCGCGGTACGGGGATTGGAGCAGCATTGATGCGTTTAAAAATACCACACCAAACACAGCTGTGGCCCTCATCTACAGCCAGAAGGCATGTCTCTGTGTCTATCGCTCTTTCGGTTTAGTATGCTGTCTATCTTTATCTCTTCTTTCATTTTCTTTCTCACTCCATCGCTCTCCCATTATCATGCCTCTGGCCTCCATAAAAAGACACACTACCAGTTTTTCTGGAGATATAAATATTTCCTCCCTGCATTTTGCTTGACACGTTGCTGCTCTGAGCTGCACCGCTGACACTCTCGCAGGGTTTATGTGCTCAGCATGCAGAGTAAAATGCAACATCTTGCATTCATATCTTGCATTTAAAACTGAACGAATGGCATTATATTGATTCAAATATGAATGTAGGTTGGATAAGGCAATGCATAGGCACAATATTACAAAATGGCAAAAACATAATATGCATTCGAATTACAAACAAAAAAATATTAATTTTATTAAAACTGTATTGCCTGATACCATATAGTTATAGGTTATCCTGTTCTGGACCCCTTTACAGGGCTACAGGTCCCCCTATTCTTAAATTCCTAAAACTACAAGGGTATATGTTCATGCATAAAATATGTGAAAACTTATTTATCAGTTTTTAAAAAAATCTATATAAAAAATTTTAAATATTAAATATTAAATAATACTTGAAAATATTAAATACAATTAAATTGGTTTTTTTATTAAATAATCTGCTTTTATATTGTTTTATACTAAAAAAACAGTATAAAACAATATTTATTTATTGTTACCATGATAAGTTTGACCGCCATAAAAAATATATTTTGTACAATCTTTCTCTCAAATTTCAAATTTTGAACACCCCTGCCAAAGCAGAACCTACTATGAAGCCCCTTAAGGGACATGGTGAGGGAAAAAATTAAAATTGAAAGAAAAATTTTATTTGAATGCTTTTGCGTTCTCTAGCTACATTTTTGCTCCCCCAAGAAACTTTGCATTCACTCACAAAATTTTGTTATGGAAATAATATGAAGTGGGAGAAACAACTACGCAATGTTTCTCGGGGGAATGCAACACTTTTGAATGAGAATGAGAAAGTTTTGCCAAACAAACTCAAAAGCACTGAAATATTATTTTTCCACCCATCTCATATATTTTCCATCACCATGTCCCCTCAGGGCTTCGAAGAAACATTTTGACTTCCACAAAGAACTTTTATTTTTAACAGTGTACTGCATGTCATTTTTCATTTGCTAAGATATTCTATAGAAATTCTGCATTGCCAAGTACAGTTCTCAGGAGAACACATTCTTGTAAGCACTAACGCAGTCCAAGCTGAACTAGCTTGTGTTTGTGTGTGTGTGGTCATTTGTAGACCACGCAGGTTGTATATTGAGGTCAGTGTTGCTCTTCAGGAGGGATTTCCCAGCTGGCCAAGTGTGTTTAAGATGAATTAGTAGCTCAGAGCACACAGGGGGAGCCATCTGTGTGATGGTCGAACTTTATTTAAAACTCTCACTTTAGTCTCTTCTGTTGTCACACTGCACTAAACTCTGATCCATGTTTTCCTTACCAATTTTTTGAGAAACAAAGACTGAGCTTTTAAAAAGGGGAACTGACTGCACTACCTCAAGCATAATGGCTAATGGTTTTTAGGATGAGCTTAAGGGGAGTTTAAAACTTAAAGTACTTAAAGTAGTAAATATTATGGCAAGAGCTTATAAGTGCTAGTAACTAGGTGTATGTATATATATATATATATATATATATATATATATATATATA